AGGGTAATAAAAAGCAGTTTTCTTCCATAATAACACTGCCGGACAGTGGGGGTTAGATTGTACACACACACACACACACACACACACACACACACACACACACACACACACACACACACACACACACACACACACACACACACACACACACACACACACACACACACACACACACACACACACACACACACACACACACACACACACACACACACACACACACACACACACACACACACACACACACACACACACACACACACACACACACACACACACACACACACACACACACACACACACACACACACACACACACACACACACACACACACAAATTTAGAACATGTAGGGTAGAGCGCTACTTCGTCGTAATCGTCCATTTCCGTTCTATCGAGTAGAAAACATCAGTATAATCAGTATGATTTCACCGTGCACAAATCAGTAATGCATTAGTTCACAAGCTACAACACAAAGCCTATTAGAGCATATTGTGAGAATATTTACACTCATTGTTCTCAAAACAAAATAAGCGCTTCTAGCGAACTCGCTTTTTCTACCATTATCCGTAAGACGAAGAAAATCCAATGGCGTGTTATATTTTTAACAATATCTCAACAATGTGTGGCTCTTTATCAAATTCAACGGTACTTATGGAAAGGGGAATAAATTTAGAAGTCATCTTTGATAGAAACATTTTATTTAATGTAAAAACCCGTTCTAGAAAGAGAGATAAAGTGCGGGTTGTGCTTAGTAGGACAAAACATTAGATCAAAAACCCTATTGCTCTTTTTCAAAGAAAAAGTTTAGTGAAATTACTGTGAGCTTACTACAGTAACGTACGGGACGGCGCTAGCACCATACTTGGCCACTCGAACATTGAAGCAGTTAGTACAGGACGAAGGACACGCATTTCCAAGGGCAGCCAAAATACTGGAGAACGATTTTTACATCGACGATGTGTTGTCAGGAGCCGATAGTTTGGAAGAAGCTACGGAGGTACGCACAGAATTAGTGGAGCTACTACGAAAGGGAGGTTTTGAACTACACAAGTGGTGCTCGAATTCTCCAGAATTACTAGCATCAATCCCAGAGGATCTTCGTGAAAAGCAGGTGTCATTCGAACAACACGGAGTCAACAATGTGATTCGAACGCTTGGCGATCAATTGAGGTTCCACATAGAGCCAGCTGACCATTCGAAACCGGTAACGAAACGTTTCATTCTCTCTGAGATCGCCAAAATCTTCGATCCAATGGGTCTCTTGGCACTGGTGGTTGTTGTTGCAGCTGTGGAGGGCAAAGATGTCGTGGGATGAAGAACTACCAACGGAACTGTTGGAGGCATGGAAACGATTTCGTGCTGGTCTGCAAGCATTGACGGATTTGGAGCTCGAGGAGGATTGCAGTCGAAATACACGCCTTCTCTGATGCAACTTTGGAAGCCTTCGGAACGTGTGTTTACCTTCGAAGCATTCATGAAGACAATACGGTGGAAGTCCACTTACTGGTCAGCAAATCTCGGGTAGCATCCAAGGGTACTATTCCTAGACTGGAACTGTGTGGCTTTCAGCTCATGGCAAGGTTGGTTACGCAAGTGGCAACGGCACTCAAGATGGATTTTCGACGAAAGATGATGTGGTCAGATTCACAAATAGTCTTGTGCTGGGTACGAAAGGCTCCACACCTGCTGAGTACCTACGTTGGCAACAGAGTGGCTGAAGTACAAGAACTTACGTCTTCCTACGAATTCGGTTATGTTAGGTCGAGCGATAATCCAGCAGACCTAGTGTTACGAGGTCTCGATGCGAAGGTACTAGTTCAGAGTCAAGTTTGGTGGCACGGGCCAGAGTACCTACGGCAAAATCAGTACGGAGAAGAGGTTCCGGAAGAAGTGAAGGATCTACCAGAAATGCGGGTTGCGATGTTGGCAAGTTTGTCCATGACCGATATGCCTTCAGACAGCTGCAGCGTGTGATGTCTTACGTTATCCGTTTCTACAATAAGGCGAGGAAACTCAGGATGGTACGTGATGATTCGAAATACGTTACAGTCAAGGAGATGAGATTGGCCCTTAGCGCAATCGTCAGAATGGTTCAACAGCAGCAGTTAAGCGAAGAAATACAGCAGATCGACAAGTGTCAGAAGAACGAACAACAGGGAAGATTACTATATTACTATTGTTATATGTGTGGTCGTGAGATGATCTATTTGGCTTTTATTTTTATTCTAATAGCTTCGTGATTTATGTTATCTGGATCAGGGGTTGAAACTGTTGACGTTTTTTGCTACACTCGCTTCGTTGTCGTACGCCACAGTCTGTTTGTATTCGTACTCTCATGCTCTACCGTCGTCTCTCTTACACAACACAAACGTAAGAAAAATATTCGATCAAAAAGAAATTTATCAAATAACTATCATATGACATGTGTGATTTCGTTCTAATTCCTCACTTTAGTGTAAATTAAACCATTTTTGAACAGAAATGTTATTACTAGGACATCGTTGCTTGCTATTTTCAGAATTCACACAAGCACAGCATCAGCAGCTCTTATTATGAGAAAAACTAAAATGCATACATTCGTGACGGTCTTCGGCGACAGTGTCGTATGACAGAGCCTGTCATATGACATTTTAGTTTTGCACTGCAATTTGATAGCTTATTTTAACGCAGAAAATGTGTTGACTACGGTGACCGCTTACAAGACTGATCTGGATCAACCGGAAAGAAAACTCTGTCTCTTTTATCCTCATCAGTTCTTATGCGAGAAGTGAAAGTGACGTCAACAATGTGCTAAGTATGAATGATAAGGAGTGAAAAGAAGCGCGATTTCACATGCCGATCCTTTGTAGATCAAGGTTAATCTTCGATAGGACGACGTTGCATCCATTTATAGACCAATTTGAGTACAGTAGACCGACATTACATCCACGTACCTGGAATGTTTTCAGGTTAGAATGGTGAGATTAAACAATTTTCAGTCGTGCCTAATCAACATCCAAATAATAAGAATATTCAAGCTTACATGTTGACAGTGAACTATCGACTGCAGCTCAAATATTACATAAGATGCGGCATAATGTAATTGCAGGCGTCGTATTAGATCGAGGTTAGGGTCGCATACCCTACATGGATTATCTGTAAAGTTCCTGCAATTTTTCTGAAGTTGTGAAGTTCTCTGATCTTAATCTAATTTCACGAAAATGTGCTGAAGTTCTTGGAACTGCGCTGTAGTTTTCCAGAGCTTTCCGGAAGTTTTTAAAACTTCTGTGAATGTTGCGGATATTCCCTAAAATTCATGGAACATCCCTAAAGTTTTCGATATTGTACTAACAGGACTGGGTAGTGGGTATGTGATACAATAGTAGTGACTTTAGTGACTAAAATAACAAAAATAGTGACTTTAAAGCAATCAAACAGTGTCCAATAGCGACATTTAGTGATTGGAAAGATATGCTTTCAATCTCCTGTTGATGTCGATTGCGTACTTTTCATGCCAGAAAATAAAGGGATCTCGATTCCATCCCGAAGATTTTTAAGATTCGTCCTGAAACCATCTTCCGATTTCTTTCTTCGAAGTCCTGCATAGGTTTCTCAGGAATTGTCTGTTAACTTCCTTTAAACATTACAAACATATCTGCAAGCGCTTTCTGATATCTCTCAAACCAATTCTGCACACTTTTCCTGGATATTCCCAAAAAACAAAAGAAGCGCTCCGACTGAATCAATATTTATCTTCATCCGATAGGCCGAAGTGAATTCATTGGCGTTTCAATGCGTTAGGCTGAGTTTAGAATCCGTAGACCCTACTGTCAGATTCCTCCGCAAATTTATCGCAACTTTTCTCTTGAAGTGTTTTCCATCCCCTTTGGAAGTTCTTTTCAAGCTCTCCAAAAGGTTTTCATCAGCTTCCATTGAAAATTTCTCATAATTTATTGTTAGTTCTATACAATGTTAATTTCCCGGCTATGTATTTTTAATCGGTGTCGTCTATTTTAAGCGAACATTTATATTAAGCATACCTTTCTTATCTGATTGTTGGTGAAATTTGCGGAAATTGTTTCCCAGAACGTCACTGGTATTTCTATAAAAAAAAACCCTCCTAGACGGCGGGATCTCTAAGACAAAAAAAAATGAGGGAAATTGTGGATCCAGAAATAATTTTCTATATAATAATTATATACAATGTCCTTGAACAATTTAAATGCACCTGAAACATACCTGGACTTGGAAATTACGAAAGCTACCGGGTTTATTTTTAAAATGTCTGTCCTTTGAAAAAGTGTTGACATCTTTGACATCTCAGGCTTGGAAAATTTGAAGATCAAGATGTAAAATAGCCAGATTGTTTTTTTTTTGTATCAAGCTGGAACTTTGATAGCTTCTGTACTCATATTTGGAATAACCAAATATGAGTAAATTTCGTATGGAAAGAAAATGCTCTGAGTCAATTGAATTCAGTCGCTGAGTTGTTCTGGTCGACCGTATGCAAAAATGAAATTTAATGAAAATTCCAGCTATATCCTGGAAAAATAAAATGCTCTGTAGATTCCTGGATTTCCAGGTTTTTTTAAGGTAGCAGAAACCCAAATGGGATATCTTCTGAATCACGCTGGGTATCAACGAACCAGAACTCCAACTCGACTAAGGATTCCAACCAGAAGATGGCAACTCTGAGCCAAAGGAAAGCGAGTAGCATTGACTCAAAAGGCAAACAAACTACCGATGCGATGATGGTTGAGAGAAATCCCAATGCCATTGAGCAGCAGCAGCAGCAACATTCAAGATTCAAGGGAGTAGGGGTGGTGGGCGGAAGGGCGGCTTGTACAAAACAAAACCTACTACAGAATCGCAGTGGTTATAGAACTGGATTTCGCTCTCACTGTTCGCTCTCTCCTTTCTCGCTCGTCAAGTGTGTGTATATTGGGATAGATAGGTATCTTACGTTATGCATTTTTTTTTTCCTGTCATAATCGTTGGGAATTCGGAATCTACACCTACCTGTTTGTAATACGCTTCGTATATCAGGATGTGATCACCAGCGATCTGTAAAGAATTGGCCCGATCAAAACAATCTGTCATGTTTTTCACACTACTCGTTTAGAGCCTTCTTTAGGGGGGTGACGATGATGGTACAAATGTATGTCAGCACAGATTTTGTTAAAAACAAGTTGATACAAAAGCGCACAGAAACACGATCACAGAAACTGAAAATGGAGAACACAGAACTGTTTTTCTTTCGCCAAAACACAGACAATTCACACGCAACAGCACAAAAACCTCCTCCTCCTGCTCCACTCCAAAGAACGGTGAAGCGAGAAAAAGTCGAAAGAATTTATCGTAAAAAATCCACGGGCGCCTCCGATTTCGATTAGACACACGACGACGACGGAGACGAAGGCCGCGACCACGGGGAGGAGAGGGACTACGCACAAGAAACGTCAAACGGAGGATTTTTTTCTTTTCCTGCCTCTGCGGAGTCTATCACGGGTGATAAGAAACGGAAAATCGTCCGGAAATCGCACAATCACCGAAGTTTTTCGCAATTTTCAACGCGTTCACGATCGGCGGCACCCGTTGCACATTTTGATGGCACTTTCGGCCCAATTTTCACGCAATTTCACGACAAAACAGCGATTTTACTTTACCTTCAAAATATCGGGCATTTTTGACTACTCAGAAAATATCGGATTTTGCTCTGCTCTGGCTCATCGGCTCGGTTCGGCTTCTTCGGTTCTCTTCGAGTGACGCAAGCTTTGACCGTCGTGTTGCGTGAAGGGCAAACTGGCGCTGGCGGCGTTTGAAGGGGAAATACATTTTTGCTCTGGCCTCACCGGCCGAAGAAAGGTGTTGATGCACAGTGGGAAAAATTAAATTTATCGTGAGTTAAAACTGGCTATCAACGGCGCCGGTGGTGTAGTGGTAAGCGAGATAACCTCTCACCCCAGCAGGCCTGGGTTCAATACCAGTCGGCGCCGCCGGGATGTTCTGAGGCATAACATCTCTGATCACGCCTTCCTTCGGATGGGAAGTAAAGCCGTTGGTCCCCGGTTCATGAGTTGATGGGTCGATAGGTAGGGTCCAGGTGTGGGAGCTGCCTTCCTGGCACGTCGGTAGCATTGGTGCTCAGCACGGAAAACAAGATCGACGGAAAAAACAAACCAAAGGAAAAAAAATAAATAAAACTGGCTATTATTTTCCATATAATTCCACTTAGTAATTTGTATCTACGACAGATACGTATTCAAACTACAATGTGCAGCCTTCATCAGTTTCATACCCACAGCACAGAGAACAGACATGGAGGCTCGAACAAAATTTCTCTAAAAACTTGTGTAAAGATTCCTATTCGACTTATGCGCCACTAACGGCGACTTCCCCACTTAAAAATCCTCTTTGACAACATGATGGCGCTGGCGTTGCACAAATTACACTAGACACTAAGTGCTAGTAGCGCCAAGTGGCAATTTTCAACAGAAAATTTATCGATACTAGCGCCAAATTGGTCGAAAGTGGAAAATTTAGAGAGAAAATCAGGAGATGCTAACACCACGTAACGGCGACGTTCCCACTTATTTTACACAAGTTTCTGACCGAGCTTCAACGTCTGTTCTGTGTGCACTTAGTGTCTAGTGTAATTTGTGCAACGCCAGCGCCATCATGTTGTCAAAGAGGGTTTTTAAGTGGGGAAGTCGCTGTTAGTGGCGCTTAAGTCAAATAGGAATCTTTACACAAGTTTTTAGAGAAATATTGTTCGAGCCTCCATGTCTGTTCTCTGTGACGTAACGGCGACGTTCCCACTTATTTTACTCAAGTTTCTGACCGAGCTTCAACGTCTGTTCTCTGTGTTTAAAGCACAGAGAACAGACGTCCAAGTTCCATCAGAAACTTGTGTAAAGTTAAGTGGAAACGTCGCCGTTACGTACCGCTAGCATCTCCTGATTTCCTCTATAAATTTATCACTTTCGACCAATTGGGCGCTAGTATCGATAAATTATCTGTTGAAAATTGCCACTTGGCGCTACCAGCACTTAGTGTCTACTGTAAGTTTTGCAACGCCAGCGCTATTATGTTGTCAGAGGGTTTTTAAGTGCACGGTAACCGCAAAATACCCAATAATGACTAAAAAATAAGCATTTTTGAGGGAGACTGGGACTACCCATTGGATGAGTAAAAATATTAATATTATGGAGGCTCGAACAAATTTTCTCTAAAAACTTGTGTAAAGATTCCTATTCGACTTAAGCGCCACTAACGGCGACTTCCCCACTTAAAAAACCCTCTTTGACAACATGATGGCGCTGGCGTTGCACAAATTACACTAGACACTAAGTGCTAGTAGCGCCAAGTGGCAATTTTCAACAGAAAATTTATCGATACTAGCGCCAAATTGGTCGAAAGTGGAAAATTTAGAGAGAAAATCAGGAGATGCTAACACCACGTAACGGCGACGTTCCCACTTATTTTACACAAGTTTCTGACCAAGCTTCAACGTCTGTTCTCTGTGTTTGTACCTTAACTATCCACACTCAAGAAATCCGGAAGATCATAACCACTAAGGGACTTTTCTAATTTTCCATTTTTCTCAACAAAAATATTCCTGAACACCAGCAGGATCTTTGCAAAAACGTTACTACATTAAATTTTTCAACTTTAGATTAAGTTCTCGAGCATCTCAGATGAATCAATTTATCAGGAATAGTAAAAAAGTGTTCCGCTTCCTATGTCTCAAGGCAAAAATTTATGCTCACAACACTCTTTTTGACGTTCTCCTATTCACCACCAGAGGCTGAATCGATCGTTTAGTGTCTATTAAAAATGCCTATCGGGAGGGGTCTTATTTTATTATTTTTCACATATTTGAACGAAATTACAGCTCAAATAACACCACATTAAAAATCCGGAAGATCATAACCGCTGGGGTAGTTTTATAAATCTTCACTTTTCTTAACAAAAATATGTGGAAGCACTCCCGGTCCACTCAAAAATAGATACAGAAAAGAAAATATTCCATGTGGATGTTGATTACAAGCACCTGAGATGGATACATTAATCAGAAAAGGTAAAAACATTTACCTCTTCCTATGCTTCACGGTGAAAATTTCAGCCCTCATCCACAGTGCCTCATCACTCTTTTGATGGTTCTTTTATTCACCACCAGAGGCTGAAACGGTCGCTTAATTTGCATTGGATTCGCCAATTGTTATCCTCTCTTTCGGACCATCAATACTCGTGTGCATTAACTGTACGCGCTACAAGCGGCGGTACTACCAACTAAGAAACATTTCAATAGACCGTTAAAAGCATGCTCGATGAAAAACATTCCAGTGTTATCACAGAGAACAGACGTTCAAGTTCGGACAGAAACTTGTGTAAAATAAGTGGGAACGTCGCTGTTACGTGGTGTTAGCATCTCCTGATTTTCTCTATACATTTTCCACTTTCGACCAATTTGGCGCTAGTATCGATAAATTTTCTGTTGAAAATTGCCACGCTACTAGCACTAGTGTCTAGTGTAATTTGTGCAACGCCAGCGCCATCATGTTGTCAAAGAGGGTTTTTAAGTGGGGAAGTCGCCGTTAGTGGCGCTTAAGTCGAATAGGAATCTTTACACAAGTTTTTAGAGAAATTTTGTTCTAGCCTCCATGTCTGTTCTCTGTGGTGTTATGTTTATTATATTAGGCATTTAATTTTCATTATTTAATACGGGCACAATCTATTTAGAAACTTTAGGGATTTCTTAAACAAACAAAAAATCACCCCAGCTGCGATTTAATCGACCTAAATGCTTTACTGTTAGCCTCTTTCACTTAATAAAGCTACTGAAATCATTTATTTACTCAACACTACGTTCAATTTGGCCTTCAGCTTATCCAGGCCGGTCTGATTAGCTTCGTGATAGTAGGGCAACTGTTTCATTGTCTCATACCATGCGGCCACCTTTGGCCATCGACTAGCCGGTATTGGACAAATCGTTTCCATCGTGCTCAGGATGGCAACGATCGAAAAATCCGCCACAGTCAGCTGAAATGGGATTGGATATTCTAACACTTTGGTTTGGCAGTTTCATTCAACGAATACCTCATCACATGCGACGAACTTCGAGCTTGCCAAATACGTTTCCAAATATCCGACCACTTCTTCTAGAGGCTTAAGATGATCCTCCGTGACTTCCGCTATCTGCCGATGGAATATTTTAACCTGAAATTACAGAACAATCAATTTTAAACTGGACAATCACGAACATAAGTGCTTCTAATCTACCATGAGCGATGACTCTCGTTGGAACAGCACGGAATTGTTGAAGCACAATCGATTGTTGACTAGGGCACGTTTCTTTGGATCGTTTAGGGAAAATTCACTCTCCTGTCCGTAGACGTCGCAAAGGTACATCAGGATGGCGTGGCTGTCCGTCAGGACGAGGTCACCGTGTTTCCATACCGGTACCTTGTGAAGGGGGTTGAGCTAGAATTTTGAATTTTAAATCGTTTTTGTTTTCTTGGGAAAGAGTTTCCATGTGCTCACTTTGACAAAAGCTTCGTTCAAATGTTCTCGCTGGAATAGACGAACCAGTTTGAGATCCACTTGGTCGTTGATTCCCAAGGCTGCTAGGGCGAGTAGGACACTTCGGACCGGTGGACTGTTGGGATCATAGTATAGTTCGGGTTTAGACATGACTGAAATGAGATGTTTTGAATAGGGGGGAAATTTTATGAACTATCGTGTTTCTTGATTGAATGCAAATATTTGAAAATAAATATATAAATACTTGTCAAATAATATTTTAGGCTTCCCAGTGCTCAGAGCATTATCACAGACAAATAGACGCATAACTTAATTCTTGATAATTTTTATTTTGGATGGAGTTATAGGTAAACAATCTAGTTTTCTTTTATTCAACATATATCGTGAAGTTCCAAAATTTCTAGCGTCACCTAACTCTACGCATTTTTGTCAACAAATTGTGTATTGTAATATTTCTTCTTATCTAAATTTATATTCTTCATACACTAGTCGATAAAATCTATTTAAATTTTAATTCAAAATGTCCTCATTAAAAATTGGGTTTGATTTTTGAACTTAGGAGCACGACATGATTGCACTTCACGGTAGGTTCGCATGTAAAAGCCTTATCCACTGGAGATGTGGGCCAGGAATACAAAATTAAGTACAGTTTGAATGTAATAGTTAAGAAGAAGGGATAACTTATTCCAATATGAATTACAGTAAATTCAACATTCAAAAATATTCTATTTTATCGCTTTAAAATCAGTGCTAACATTTGAAAACGGCGCAAAAGCCATTTGTAAACAAATGGTTTGTGGGCCCTTTACTCGCTACCCGAAGAACGCCCACGCAAACCAACAGCATCGTCAGGAAGGGGAAAATTTCCCCTACCCGATGTTGCTGTTTTGTCGCGTGGGAGTACTTCAAGTAGTGAGTAAAGGGCCCACAAACCATTTGTTTACAAATGGCTTTTGTGCCGTTTTCAAATGTTAGCACTGAAATGTAAACAGCCCGAGTTGTTATCATTACTACCGTTGATCAAAACTGTAGAAAGCTCTCCTCATATATATAATCTAATCATGACGTAGCATTTGTACATTCACGGTTCAACGCATTATATACGTACTTTATCTACAAATTGTCATTGCTGCTAGCCACGAATGATAAAGCATATCATCATACCGTAGTATTCTGTATAACTGATGCATGCATTCCGGTAACAGGTTTCAGTTTCCCATTGTGCTTCCAGATAGCAACTTCCATACACCTATTTATCGTACAGTAGGTTTTCGCGCGATTACGACGATGGGCAAAATCAAACTCTACAGCAACCAGCTCAGCCCGCCCGGTCGAACGGTTCAGCTAACCGCAAAAGCACTCGGCCTTGAGATCGAATTTCAGTAAGTTTCATATTCGATCCGGTTGAGATTTCAGTATCAATCACTTCTTATTTTTCTCACTTCACTACAGTTCCGTCAATGTTATGGGAAATGAACACCTAACCGAGGAGTTCGTCAAGGTTGGTAATATCCTATGCGTGAATTTTCAACCAAACACAGCATCTAAACGCATTGATTTTCATTAACGTAGATGAACCCGCAGCACACCATCCCGGTGATCGACGACGACGGATTCGTTCTGTACGACAGCCACGCCATTGCCATCTACTTGGTTTCGAAATATGCCCCCAACAGCGCTCTCTATCCTACCGGTGACATCAAGCAGCAAGCCCGAATTAATGCCATCTTGCACTTTGAATCGGGAGTGATGTTCGCTAGACTGCGTCTCGTCGGGGACGCCATTCGGAAGGCTAGTCAACAGTCGGAAGTTCCCCAGGATAGCATCGATGGTGTGCTAGAAGCTCTGGGACTGTTGGAAGCTCTGCTCGTCGATCGGTATCTGGTGGGAGACCACGTGACGCTGGCCGATATCAGTTGTGTGACTTCGTTCTCGTTCTTGGATGTGATGCTTGAGTCTCATATACAGGCAGATCGTAGCAAGTATCCCAAGGTGTACGCTTGGTACGAAAGGATGAAGCAGATCGATGGGTACGAGGAGATCAATCAGAAGGCCCTTGATCAGTTGGGCGATGTGATCAAGACGATTTACGATGGTAACAAAGCGAAGTGATTTTGTGTATGATTGGAAGCACTGGAATGAATAAAGCAGTTTTGCTGTAATTTGATGCATATCAGCAATCGAATGCTTTTGAAGCAGGTCAAATGTAAACTCTTTTTGTTCTTCCACAGTAGCACCGTAGCACGCTGGTCACAATTAGGTTGTTGAAGCTTCTATACGACTTATTTAATTCATAAACAGGGTGCTGCAACTTCTTGTGACGAAAGTGTGCGAAAGACGTACGTCGATTGTCAATGGGGCTTGGTCAATTGGTAATTAATCACCGACGGCAATCAAGTGCCAGGGAAGTGACCCTACCCCTGGGAACCAGCGAACCCAGGAGACCAGGACCAAGGGTTTTACTTCCCTTCGGGGGGAAGACGTGACAATCAGAGATTGTTTCGCCTTAGAATAATCCCCTCGACCTTGGCTGCACACTTAGAATATTTCACAAATTTCGGAGAAATTTTACCGAAATCTCAACAGCAGAACGTTCGGTAAACAGTTCGGTGATTTTTCAAATCACCGAACAATCTGTGAAGTTGCAAAAAAGTTATCTGTCAAATTATCGAAAAGTTCTGTGATTTTTCACTGTTTTCTTGTATTTTTTCACAGATATACTGTGATTTTTTTTGTTAAAAATTAAATAAATTTACCGAACGATTCGGTATTTTTTTACAATAATTTTGTAAGCTTAGAAGTTATTTCTTTCATTTTTTTATTCAAATGTAATAAATACTGAAATTCATAATATTCTGACTGGTGTCCAAAAGTAAGAAGTATATGATAAACACAAGTTTACTTCCGGAACGCAGTCGTACATTTAGACCCACCATACTTTTTTTTTTCTACAAAGCAATCGAAACGTTTTTTTATTGCAATGAAAAATTTGTGATAAAGAATCACTTGTAAAACCTTTATTTCGGAAAAAGTGTCTCTCGGGCGGAAGTGGTCTTTCTTCTAATGATCGTTTATGTTGATAATGATCGTTTATGTTACAATGAAAACAATTCACATAACCGGGAACTTTGACGCGGGAGTAAACCAGATTATCGGCAACTAAAACAAAGCGTAGTGTTAATAATACAAATTTATCATACTTACTAAACATACTGACGAATTTTTAGTTATGCTCCTGTATAGTTTCCAACATTTCTTCCATATTATAACACTTTCAACGGATGACATTATAAATTTTGTACAAATACCACAAAAACTGAAACTGTTTAATATGGGACGCAAACAATTGTCAAATGGCTGACAACTGTATTTACAGAAGTTCGGTGAAAAACACAGTATTCGGTAAAAAAAAATAGCTACGTCACCGAACTATCCGTAATTATTTCACAGATTTTTGTAAACTTGTTTGATTTCACCGATCTTTCGGCGAGTTTGTGAAAAAAAATAGTAGAAAACATTGATTTTACAGAAAAATCTGTAAAGTTTTCGTTTACAGATCAATTGCGGTAATTTTTTTTTTAACAGAATTCTGTGATCTATTCTAATACCATTGACAGACATACAAAGCAGTACCGTTGTACTCCTTTAATCGAGTACCTCAAAAGGTACAATTTGAGGTACAAGCTTAAAGAAATACAACGGTAGTACAACAGTGTACTTTGTATGTCTGTACAAGGTATAAGTGTGTAGATTTAGATGATGATGCAGAAGTAGTATCAGGCGTCCATGTGTATAGACTGAGATATCTAAAAGTGCAGTGTCATTAAATCAACACATCAAGATTTGTGGCAGACATAACATTCTTAAAACGTTCATCGAAATAGCTTTTAACGGTCAATATAAATGTTTCTTAGTTGGTAGTACTGCCACTTGTGGCGCACTTGTGTTTGACGTTTACACACTACAGTCATCTGTTGGGTGTATTGTCCATCACAGTGTATACGACAGATGGCGGTAGGAATTACAATGAGAAATGAAAACTGTGTTTTGTCTGTTTCTCTGTGATATAAGGATAAGATAACGTGCTCAACACGGAACCAAACTTTGTTAATTTAAATCAACAATATATATGTTTATTAAATAAAAATATGAATAGTTCAAAGTAAATTAAAATCATGTTTTCAACAAAAATATGTATGTTTGAATTAAATTCAAAAACATGTTTATTTCAACAATACATAATCTGGGTAAACAATTTTTAGCGTGTCCTTTTTTTTTCCTTCTTATTTACATTCGGCAAACTCAACTGAAAACGGCCTGCAAGCGGCGAAACCGAAGGAGAGGGTGCGGAAATCCACGCACCCACCCGGAAGTGTTCCAAGCTCGACAAAACCGGTGGAACCCCACAATATCAACGTCACTCCGTCGTTTCTGATGTCAATCCCCATATGATCCTCACCCCCACCCGACGTCGAAAGAAAAACAGATTATCCCCCAACACCAAACGTAGAAAGAGGCCGGTATGAGGACCAGCGTCAGAAACGACAAAACGACGGTAATATCACGGGTTTTACTGAACTTGAACCCCCAGACACCCACCCCGACGGCCGCTCGGATCTCGGCTCGGATCCAAACACCCACAGACCTTCCTTAATCGCAGGAATTTAGATGCCCTGTCTGCAGATTTCCATTTATTTGCTATTAATTTTATTTTGTTTTATCCCGCATTCAAACGCTAAAATAATTTCAAAATATTTTCGTGTATTTTAAACATGAAAAGCATGTTTAAAATACACATATTTATTTTTGATCACATATAGTTGTCAAATCAAACAAAAATATTCACGTTTATTATAAACACGATTTTTTTTAAAATAAACGTATCATTATTTTTGTTTTAAACATTATTATCAATGGATTCAAACATGGATGTTTGTGGCCAGAACAAACTGAGTTTACGTTTAAATTCACCTCAAATATTTTTGTTTCGACGGTAAATTTTTCTGTGTGAAGACGCCATATTTAAAATACGGTAAACACTACCATCATCTACTCATCCGATTGCGTCACCATGAGCAAGAACACGAACCTTCGTATAATTTGTATTGCCTTGGTTTGCGTCTCACCTTGTTTGACAGATCTGATCGCCCGTTTTAAAGTTCAAATCCCTCGTTTGACAATTGATCATTTTAGATGGTCAAGTTTTAAAACCACCACAGCATGCTTTTGGCGCTACTGTATATGGACGATCAAATGTAAAATACTGTGGTAGCCACAGCATAGTTCTGTCAAAAACTCAGCATTTTCATTGATCCATTCGAATTGTAGACAAACGAAATGCTCCTGTGGCCCCTGTGGCATGTCGGTGATATGAGTACCCAAGTAATCATATAGTCGAAATATAGCTTGTATATTCTTACTTTGTTTGAGTATGGTTAATTGGGGAATCTGATGAAACTGTCACGTCTTGAAACTAATCCCTTTCGTATTTCTTTCATTCTCTTTTCGCACACGGAGCGCTCGGTGGACCAGCGACTTTGGACGTGAGCCTCGTCGCAGATCACCATGGCAATTCAGTGACAGATGGTGGACATGAAACCAACAACACCAACCAGCGAGGAAGGAGTCAACATCGAACCAGGAACGGAAATTAGTGCGGATTTATCTCCCTCGGAAAACAAAAAAAAACCCGGAAAAGGCGGAATCATATTATCACAACCAAGGACGATCTACGGAAGGAAATTGCCAGTGAAGCACGGAATGATCAAATCAAATCAATCCAAGCTTCATGCCAAACACTGCCGAAGGCTTTTTTCTGTGTCTAGAAGAGCAACTCCAGTTGAGCAGCTTTCAGAGTTGTATGAACGAATTAAATTGGTAACTCTTGAGAGTTGATGAGTAGTTTAATGCCCATGGCGAAATCCAAACTGCTCATCTGCAAAAATTGAGTTCGTATTGATGTGAAGCATCATTCTATTCACAATGATCTTTTCAAAAAGTTTAGTTATTGATGAAAGCAAATTTATTGGATGGTAGCTAGAAGCTTCAGCTGGATTTTTATCCGGCTTCAGCATTGGAATAACTTTTGCATTTTTTCATTTATCAGGAAAATATGCCAAATGGAAACATGTGTTAAATAGTTTTACCAAGAAAGACAAGGTACTCTCTGGGAGTTTTTTGATTAGGATATAGAACATTCCATCATCACCTGGAGCTTTAATTTTATGAAACTTTTTAGTTATAGATCTTACTTCGTCCAAATCAGTACCCCAGGAATCGTCCAAAGTATTTTCCCGAGAGAAAATATTCAGATAATCCCGACCAACCTGATTCTCAATAGGACTAGTAAGACCACAAACGAAGTGACAGACGACTAACTGGCGAAGAAATCCATTTAAATAATGTGGTTCACTGCAATAGAATTTTCTTGGAAGCTTGTGCCATCATCCACCATATGGGTTAGTTTTTTTGTTTTGATTTGAACAAAGTTGATTTTGTGTACAATGATTCTTTGACAGTGTGCAAAGAGTGCGTATCATTTTGTCATTTTTTTTATGCATTTCAGTTTTGAGTAGAATGAAAGAGATAGAACCAAAACATTCTAGTACATTTGGTGAAAATGCTAGTTCAATCTAGTAGTAGTGTTGCCATGCAAGCATGGAAAATCATTTGCATTCATTTCGTGCATTCATTAACATTCATGTGTCCCTAACTTTTTTCATCAACAGAATTACGCAAAATTATGTATAGAGCTTTTGAAGGTTTTGTTATTAACTACAACTTTTGTTAACAACTCAAATCCGTATCTCTTATGTATAACGAACCATAGCGAACAGAAGCCACTACTGTTTTTCAGTGAATGTATTTTACATTCACTGAAAAACAGTAACAAATTCTGCCCGCTCTAATTCGTGATGCATAACAGATACAAAGTTAAGTTATATGCAAAAGTTGTAGTTAATAACAAAACCTACTAAAGCTCTATACATCAGTTTGCGGAATGCTGTTGATGAAAAAAGTTAGAGGCAAATGAAATGAATGTAAATGATTTTCCATGTCTGTTGCCATGTGGTACAATCCAGTAGTAGTGGTGTTGCCATGTGGTACACTGAAAAATTGCAATAGCAGGTTA